CGAAGTCAGATTTGGGCGTTCTTTTTATACTAACTCTCGGTTTAACGAACACTACGAGTTTCGTTTAGATCACTAAGGCCAAAAAGTAGTTTATCGAAAACTCACTTTTTACGACATTCGGCCCCGTGCCGGTTTGTCGCGAAAATTCGACAAGTCATAACTTCTTCGTTATAACTCGGATTTCGGCATTCTTTATATATCCGTAATCCTTGTCAGGCCCACTACAAGCTTCTTAATAGATATCGGCTTTATTCTTAATTTTTGAAATAATTAATTAAGCCCTTAATTAAGCATAAAACACATAATATTCACATAATTCCTTTTCATTTCTTCAAAATGAGTTACAAAGGTTAACCTAGACTATAATGTCAATATTAATGCCTAACCTAGAAACACGGGCATTACAGTTACTCTCAATATGGCTGGGTTTTCTTGTTAAACGATGGAGCAGTAAATTGGAAAAGTTCCAAGCAACAAATGGTGGCTGATTCTACTTGTGAAACAGAGTATATAGCAGCAAGAAAAGCAGTAAAGGAGGCTATGTGGTTAAACATTTTTATTAGATATCTTGGAGTTGTTCCATTAATCCAAGAACCAATAAAGATTTTATGCGACAACGAGGGTGCGGTAGCTTTGAAAAAACAACCTAAAGATCATGCTAGATCTAGGCACATCGAGAGGAAATATCACTACATTAGACTTAAGGTTGAAGAGGGTTCACTCGTGCTCAACCATGTATCATCAAAAGAGAATCATGTTGATCCTCTTACGAAGGGTCTAAACAAAGTCAAGCACTTTGAGCATGCTAGGAGCATTGGACTGAGATATGATATAATATTTTAGATGTTAGTGTTGACGTCATTTTTAAACTATATAGCAATAAAAATGTAACTGAATAGTGATTAACTAAACGGAGATTTCTTTATATTCAATATGTATGATGCAGTTTGTCAATTGATTTATTATTGTGGTTTACTTTTCATGTTTTACTTCCTAAATATTATGTTATTAGAAGCACCACAGTCGGTCATACTTTAGGAGTATGTATTGATTTAAGACTTACATGAATTGTTTGTAGATTGTCCATAGAGACCGGACTTTGCATTAGGATTGCTACATAATTCATGAAGTACTTAGAAACAGAGATTTTAATTATTGGTTAAACCAACACTTAGAGATTACTTCATGGAATTAATCACGAGTAATTCTAAGACGATAATATCCTATATTCATAAAATGGGTATATGTAATTCATATTTTACGAGTCAGTTGTACATTGGTTTACTCAAACGCATCTTGTAACTGTGTGCTATAAAGAGTTATCCCTATATGACTTAATGAGTAAAATTGTATGATTATATAGTTGAATTTTATTCATTCATTTTGCCGTAATAGGAAAAGTGATATCTTTGAGCCCCTTGGTGTTTTGATTTTGACATAATAGTGTTGGGCCCAACTAGGACTTAATTGATGTGTTCAATTGGTAGTCTAATGACGTCATCACAAAATGAGAATATCGGGAAACATAACCTTGGACAAGAGATTGATTCTAATCCATTTCTCATGTTCATTCGATATCTGGAAGAACGAATGAATAGTTGATCACTTATCTTATGACCAACAGACTGTGGTAGTATCTTTGAAAACAATCTTTGTTTCTTATTCATAGTTGTACAAGCAATTGTAGTTAGCAACTTATCCAAGTGGGAGACTGTTGGATTAAGGTGTCCCAGGTCCTAACTGAATTGGTATAATATTGATGAAAAAAAGTAAAGTCCTTTTTGGTTTTCCCTCATAACCAAGAAATTGCGTATAGATTGATTATACGAGAGAGATAAATGTTTTGTTAATATATTATATGACTAATATATTAATTAGAAATGATTATAATTAATTCAAAATTAATTTCGAATTAATTCTGGATTAATTATAATTAATTAAAAGTTAAAGGACTATCTATGTGATTGTTTAAAAGTTGAATAGAGGGCAGGTTCCAAAACCTTCCCCTGTTGGATGGTTTAGAGGCTTCTCTTGGAGCCTTCTGGAATCCTTCATGTAGATAATCAAGGAACTAGATAATTTCGTTATATGAAATAATATTATTTTATTTTTAAATTAGGGTTTCTAGGTTCCCAATCAGCTATAAATAGAGCCTTATACTGCGGATTTTGGCCATGCTATTCCTCACACCAAATACAAAAATTTGCCTATCCCTCCCCTATCTCCTAAATCTTCTAGGGTTCTTGTGTTGTGGGTGTGAACCGTTAAAGGCTTGCACACAATTGAAGCTAGTTTTCAAGAGACTATTGGATTGATCTAGTTGGATCAAAGGGTTTGTCTTCAATAACAAATCAGATGTAAATTATTCTTTTGTGAATTTTGATTTACATTAGGGTTTATAAGTTTCGTTGTTGAATAGTATATATGTTTCTTGAATAGAGTTATGACATAGATCAAATTAGGTTGCATGTACCCTTAAGAGTATAAGGTGTTTTCTACATTATTACATGTAAAGACCATCAGAAAATAGTTGAATTAGCAGAAACACAAAACATGAAAGTTGTGGTAAATTTTGTCTAGTTTCCAAAACTTCTTTATTCATGTAAATCGAAGCTCTAGATCTTGAGATCTGATCAAAACACTGTAGAGCAGTCAACTTTCCCAACAACATTCTTGTTAACTTCCTTTTTGCTCATTTTCTATGCAACTTCCACCGACTTTTAGATTATATAATTTCCTGAACATAATGTTCAACATTCCATCAAAGTTGTAGGATCCCAAAGAAGATGAAAAATGTGGAATTAAGAATCAATGGATAATCAATAAGATCTGATCTAAAGTTGAAGAACAATTTGTATAGATAAAAGAGAGACACAGAAATATAGAAGCATGTGCTTGCTTACTACACTAATCTCTCTCTTTCTCTCACTCTCTCTCTCTCTCTCTCTCTCTCTCTATATATATATATATATTATATATATATATATATATATATATATATATATATATATATATAACTACACTAGAAATCTAGACAATAGGAGCTCTCTCAAACCTATACATGGTATACTATACAAGTATATATAGGAAAGCTCAACCTATAACCTATATCACAAAGTGAAAGCCTAAGACACCATCCAATGAAGAGATTTTTACTCTAACATTCTCCCCTCAAAGATTGGAATAGATAACCCGACTTCAATTTCCAAAAAGAGCAAATTTGCAACCAACAAATCATCTAATCTTCAATGATCTTCTAATTCGGTTTCTAGAATGTGAGACATTACAATCCAAAGCAACAAGAACCAAGAGGCAATCTAAGGTCCATGAGTATCCAAAACCCATGGCACATTGGTCATCCTCGAGCTTAAAAGCATACCCCAAAAATCTTCATTAAGAGCAAACCCTTTATAAAAACGATCCATTTCATAAAATTAAATCCAAATCACTTCATAACCAATTCCTCCTCAAGCTCACATTGGTCTTTAATCACAAATGATCATTCTCCAAATATAAATATCTAAAAACTTGCGATTTCGAATGCCCATATCATAATCTCTCCGCCTTTTTATAATCGAAATATCATTATAAAACTCCAAATGGGAATGAAAAAGTGCTCAATGTGGATTTGACAATACAATCCTCCCCCTCGATATGAGACAAAAATGAAGCTTCAAAAACCGAAAAACCCAAAAAATATGACAATTTTCGTAAACTTGACTTCCTAGACCTCTTTTCTCCCGAAAACGAACTAAATTTGTTGATGTTGATGGAAAACGTTTTGCAAAAATAACAAATTTGAAATTCCAAAAAAAAATATCCAAAATTTGCAAAGAATTTAATTTCTAGGTAAGAATTGTCATTTTTCTGAAACTTTAGGGACCAATTGTGAAATTCTGTTAGCTTCTTCCCCAAATGTAATCAGCTGCAAGAACGAATGCAAGCTAACATATGTGAACCATACGAAAATCGTTTTCGTTCTCAGGTCTTCAACCTCTTCCCATTCGACAACTCGACATCCAAATTCCACATCAATAACTAACTTACCAATTGACACTCAAAATTCGTTATCAGTCTTCTGATCAACAATTCTTCCTCAAATGACTTCTCATAGGAAATCCAATTTTCTTTATCAACCTTCAACATCCCACTTCCCATCAAAAAATTCACTTCCCATCTAAACGACTTTAAGTATCGGCAATTGTATTGTATTATTGTATATTTGTGAATGGTAAATACAAGGGATATTTGGATACAATACTACACAATAATCCCTCTAAATATAAGATAGATAATAATAGTCTAATAGTCCCTCGCAAGCTAAGGCCGATTTCCGACTCTTAGCTTGGACTTTAAGAAAAGGAATCTCTTAGCAGATAAAGGCTTTGTAAACACATCGGCTATCTGATCTTGTGTTGAGATGAGCCGAACTGACAATCTTCCTTGAGCAACCTTCTCGCTGACAAAATGAAAGTCAACTTCCACATGCTTTGTTCGGGCATGGAACACAGGATTTGCAGACAAGTATGTGGCGCCCTGATTATCACACTATAAGTTAGGTATAGTAGGCATGGGAATACGAAGTTCATGTAGTAAGATCTCTAACCATGTTAGTTCAGCCACTATATGAGCTAAGGCCTTGTACTCAGTCTCAATGGAGGACCTCGAGACAGTTTTTTGTTTTCTTGTAGACCAGGAAACTAAATTGGATCCGAGATAGAGAGCAAATCCCCCCGTGGATCGACGATCATCCGGGCAGCCTGCCCAATCAGCATCTGAAAAAGCGCTCAAGGAGTTAAACGTGACATCAGTATAGGCATGTAAAATATTGGGCGATTGATGAGTAATTCGCAATCCATGATCGGAAGTGACCTGCAAATATCGTAAGATGCGTTTCACTGCTGACCAGTGGTTTTCGGTGGGGGAGTGCATAGATTGGCAGACTTTGTTAACTGCATAGGTAATGTCGGGTCTCCAGAGAGTTACATATTGCAAAGCACCTACTTGTTGACGATATTGCACCGGATCATCGAAAGAGGGCTATCACCAAGAGCAAGATTGGACGTTGTTGTAATAGGAGATGGAATAGGTTTGGATTTTGATAACCGAGCATGCTCCAAGAGATCCAGAATGTACTTGCGTTGTGAAAGTAATATATCACGACCATGACGTTGAACCTCGATACCCAAGAAATATGTTAACGGACCCATATCTTGGACTGCGAAATACTTGTTCAAACTGTGAACAACACGATCAATTTCACGGGGATTGTTTCCTGTTAAAATAATATCATCAACATAAACCAACATATATAGAAGTGTGCCTTTAGTCGAATAGCTAAACAAGGATGGATCTGTTTTGGATCCTCAAAAACCCAAGGCCATCAATGCTGTAGAAAGGCGTTGAAACCACGCCCTTGGTGCCTGTTTGAGTCCATATAAGGATTTATGAAGGAGGAAAACATGATCAGGTTTTTGTGGGTCAACAAAACCAGGTGGCTGTCGTAAGTAAACGATCTCTTTCAAGTCACCATGTAAAAAGGAATTTTGGATATCTAGTTGGTGAAGAGACCATTGTTTGGTGACGGCAAGAGACAAAACGACTCTGATTGTAGTAGATTTAACTACCGGCCTGAATGTCTCGGTATAATCAATACCAGGTTGTTTGTTAAAACCTTTTGCTACGAGACGAGATTTGTAACGTGTAATGGTACCTGTTTGATCACGTTTTACTTTATAAACCCATTTACAGTCAACCACATTAGAGCGAGAAACAGGAGGAACCAAAGTCCATGTATCATTCCTCAAAAGGGCCGAATACTCCTCAACCATGGCCTGACGCCATTTGGGATCTTTGTTGGCAACAGAAAAGTATGTGGGTTCAGAGGTAGGAGAGTTTTTGGTTATGGAAAACGATTCAAAGGAAAAATGTGTGGTTTTCTTTGGGTGTTGTCGTAAGTGTGCAGGACGAGAACGGGTGGTGATGGTTGATGTTTGTTGTGATGGGGCAGTATCGGAGGAGGCTGTGTGAGCTGAAGTAGACTGTTGGAAATTTTCATAGGCTGATGTATGAGGAGTTTGCTGGGAGTCAGCAGTGGGTTGGCGTTTACGTTGGTATGTTTGGAGAGGAGGATCGGTAGGTTGTTGATCGGAAGGTTGTGGAGTAGGTTGTTGATTAGATGTAGGAGGTTTTTGTTTTTGGTTAGGGTTGTTTGTCGTGGTTTGTGGAGGTGGTACATGGTGGGGATCGGGATATGAGGATACATATGGCTCATTTGGAATGGATGGGGAGGTTGGATGAGAATTGAAAGGAAACATCTGTTCATTGAAGCGTACATGACGAGCTATGTAAATATGATCGAAAGAAGGATCAAGGCAACGATATCCATGGTGGGAAGTGTTGTAGACAAGAAAAACACAAGAAGTGGACCGGAAATCCATTTTGTGGGCATTGTAAGGACCAGATGAGGGTAGCATTGACAACCAAACACACGCATAAAGGATAAGTCAGGTTTTCGTTTGAAAAGGAGCTCAAATGGGGAGGTACCGGTTGTTGTTCTGGAGGGCATTCGGTTTATGAGAAAGACTGTGGTTTCAAAGGCAAAGTCCTAAAAGCGTTTGGGAACATTGGATTGGGCTAATAGAGTAAGACCAGTTTCAACGACATGACGGTGGTGTATTTCAACTATGCCGTTTTGTTCACTTGTGTGAGGACAAGATAAGCGGTGCACAATGCCAAGGGAGGTGAAGAAGGTTGATAGGTTTCGAAACTCACCACCCCAGTCAGTTTGTACGACTTTTAATTTTGTATTAAATTGGCGTTCAACGGTAGTTAAGAAACGTTTAAATATGTCATAAACATCAGATTTACGTTTCAAAGGGAATAACCACATAAAGCGTGTAAAGTGGTCAACACATAATAAGAAATAATTATGAGAATCAAAAGAAGTGGTGGGAGCGGGACCCCACACATCACAAAAAAGTAAATCCAAAATACTAGAAATTTTATTATGTGAAAAAGGTAAATGAAGTTTCGAAGATTTCCCAGAGCAACATGAATTACAATGAGAATCCGTACTATTATTTGAAAATGGTAAATGAAATTTGGATAACATAAAGTTGAAAAGTTGAGGATGTGGATGTCCTAGTCTTTGATGCCAAATGGTTGAGGAAGTGCGAGTAGATGAGAAAGCCACTTTAGATATAGGTTGAAAAGCTGGAAGGCGAAAAGTGTAAAGCCAACCATCACTTGGACCCGTGAGGAGGGTAACGTGTGTTGTATTGTCCTTCACAACAAAAAAAGTGGAATGAAATTCAAAGAAGACATCATTAGCATGACAAAATTGTTGAACAGAGAGCAAATGTTTTTTGATACTAGGAACATGAAGAATATTGTTAAGGGAAAAGGTTTTGAATTGAGAGTAGATGCATTTTGAGCCAATGTAGAGAATGGGTAAACCCTTACCGTTGCCAACGTGTAGGTTGTCCTCATCATAGTATAGCTCAGAAGTGTCGAATCCATTGAGATCAGGTGCAACGTGACTGTTGGATCCCGTGTCAGGGAACCACGAGGTGGTAGATGTTGTCTGGGAGCGATGGTCAGCGTAATTGGCGGATGGTTGTTTCATCCGAAGGGTTGAGGGGTCACAGTTTGGGCATTGAGAAGGAATGTGCCCAATACCGCACCTATTGTAGGTGCCATAAAGCATGTTCTGATTAGAGGCCCAACTGAACTGACCCGGTTTCCACCTCCTTGAGGACGATCACTTTGAGAGCGGTTGTTGTTGTATCCACCACGTCCTCCTCGGCCCCTGTTATTATTGTTATAGCCACCACAAGTTCTGTTAGAATTATTGTTACCTGATCGATTTGAGTAGAAATCTTGTGGTGAGCTTGGTTGTAGTTGAAAGCCTAGCTGGGCCACTAATTGTTGTAGAGCCTGAAGTGTCTCCGGCTGTACAGAAGGTAAGGCGGTTGAGCTGCGGTTTGTGATGGCAGCCATAAAAGCCTGGGCCGGTGCTACTGGTGGGGCATGTTTCTTGATCATATAGTCATGATCAGCAAGCAAACCATAGAGATCGGTGATCGGTGAAGGCAATGGGAGATTGCCTCCCAATTAAGGTAGACTTGAATCCGGTGTACTCTTCCCGCAGCCCTGCGATCACAAGCATAACCAGATTTGTTTCATCCATTGGTTTCCCAATGTTGGCGAGTGCAACAGAGTATTCTGGTGCTCTGGTGAGATATGCTGCAGAAGACTCATCACCTTTCATCTCAATTTTGAGCAGCTGTGTCTTGAGGGTATATTCCCTTGAAGAAGTGTGAGGTGCATATGCACGTTCATTGTCAGACTTATTTTCTTCGTTCACAAAATACCTTCAATTCTTAATGCTCTGTTCAACATTGAGGACCATTACAGACTTCGTTATTCATCTTCCAATCTCAAAGCTCTAAACTTCTCAATCGAATTCAGCTTTTGTCCATGGAACAGAATCGCAGTCCAAACTTCCTAATTGAAATCAACCATTCGTAAACAACCTTCAAAATCGATTCCAAATTGCAAGATTGATTCCAAATTGCAAGATTGATTTTCCGAAGATAAGACCATCAAACATTCCACAGTTGAACAAACACTGAAGAATTTCATTAGAGACCTACAATCGAATTAGATGACCATTAGACGTTGCTATTTCGATTTCTAATTCTGACATTCATCACCTATTCACAAAATCGCATGATCGAAGTTCCAATTTTTACTTTGAAATAAGCGAACTTTGACTTTCTCTTTTACACATGGACTTCGGCCTTCAACAATAAATTCTAAATACGAGACTTTGAAACTGCAATATCATATTGTTAGATAATTTTCGATGAACACCAGTTTATCTTCACCAAGGATCGATTTCAGATCAAACAAGATATTTCAATTAAGTTCATCTCATCTTCTTCACTGTTCTTGACCAAAAACCGTATGGGTGCTTCTCATCTAATTGATTTATACATAGAAACCAATTTACAATTCTGAACTACTATTTGATCACAATTGATCATAAAAACACCAGTAAATCAGTTCCAGTTCAAAATTTGAGAATAGATGAGAACAATATCAAATACAATCTCGATGAAGAAACTGAAGATTCAAATGAGATTCATGAACATGATAGAGATTATCGGATAAAGCAATTAATCAGAATACTCGTTAAGTGAACTTGATAGATGAATCAAGAATCAAAACAACAACACAAATGAGAAATATGATTAATCAGATTAAATCGATTGGACCATTAACAGCGAACAGATGAAGAAAATACAGCTGATAATGAACCAAACAGATTGTCGTTTGTTCGATTGATAAAGTTCGAGCGTTTGATGAACAGATAACACGATCGACTTTCAGTTTCAATGAATGATATACAAATTTAGAATGAACGGTAATCAAAAAAATGATATGAATGAGATGTGAATTAGGGCCAAACTAAAACCGGATACATAAAACAGATACAAACAATTGGGCTAAAAAATATAGAATATGAAGTATGAACAGTAAAAACTAAGTGATTTTGGGATTATTTTGGATCGAAAAAAAAAAAGAATAGATTGAATTTAAATCGAAATAAAATGAATTTGGGCTTAATATTGGGCTAAATAAAAAGATAATTGGATCAATAAATTTGGAATTAAAAACAAATAGATCCAATGGAGACACTCACCAAAAAATTTGAATTTTCGAGTCAATTAGTACAAAACATGCCATCTACGATCGTTGATCTTGAAAAAGTTGCAAAACCTTCAAGATTAAGTTATGATATCACATGTAGGATCCCAAGGAAGATGAAAAATGTGAAAATAACAATCAATACATAATCGATAAGAGTCGATCTAAACTTTAAGAACAATTTGTAAAGATAAAAGAGAAGTACAAAAATGTAGAAGCATGTGCTTGCTTACTACACGGCTCTCTCTCTCTCTCTCTCTCTCTCTCTCTCTATATATATATATTATATATATATATATATATATATATATAGATATATATATATATATATATATAGGTTTAGGTTCTATGGAAAACAAAAAACCCTAAAAAACCCTAAAAATGCATAAAAAAAATACTTAGAGATCACAAAAAAATATTTTGAATTTTTTTTAAAAAAATCGTAGGTTTTTGTTAAAATTCGCTGAAAAAAAAAAATACAAAATCAATTTTTTCTTTTTTTTTTTTTCTAAAAAAAAAAAAAATTTCACCGATTTTGTATAAAAAGCTGCGATTTTTTCAAAAAAAAGTTTTGTGATATCTATGTATTTTTTTTTATGCATTTTTATGATTTTTAGGGTTTTTTGTTTTCCAAATAACCCTTCCCTATATTATATATATATATATATATATATATATATATATATATCTATATATCTAGATATATATATATAATATATATCTATATATATATCGAGTCAAGATCAAATAAGAAGGAAATTTTTGGTAGGAAGGTAAGAAGTTTTTTTTCTACATATTTTTTTCGTGAACAAACAAAATGAATCATTAGATGATTCAATTGTAAGATGATTCACAAGAAAAAATTCTTAAAAAAACATCTTGATGATTCATTATACAATGATTTTCTTGTTATTCACTAAAATTGTCATAAAAGTGAATTTTTCATAATTTACTTTAAAAATGAATCATAAAGATGTTTTTTTGGGAATTTTTTCTTGTGAATCATCTTACAAATGAATCATCTAGTGATTCATTTATTTTGTTCGTCAAAAAAATATGTACAAAAAAAAACTTCTTACCTTCCTACCAAAAAAAATTTCTTATCGGATCTATATCCTATATATATATATATATATATAATATATATATATATATATATATTATATATATATATATATATATATATATATATACACTACACTATAAATCTATACAATGGATCTCTCTCTCAAACCTATACATGGTGTACTATACAAGTATATATAGGCAAGCTGAACCCATAACCCATATCACAAAGGGAAAGCCTAAGACACCATTCAATGAAGAGCTTTGCACCCTACAAAATTAGTGTCATTCTTGGGCAATCACACATCAGTTAAATGTATTTAATATGATTTATTATGTTATAAAAATAGACCGATCAATAGGAACCCACACTCTTCCGCATTGAGTCAACAAACCTCGACTATCTTTGACAAATGTGGAAATCTGACACCCTGGTCTTTTCTTTCTTCCAATTTTCTTCCTTCATCCCGTCAACTTGCGCTTCATTCATCAAATCTAGTAGTGGTGAAGTAATAATGATCCTTAAGCATAGGTCTCTGATAGGATCACTAGTCACCTTGAGGCTAAAGGGATCAGGACTACATTGGCCTCCCTAAGATGATACAAAATCTTGCAGTCAATGCCCTTCACCACATCCGAACATTTGTGTTATCTGATATTGAGATTGTAACGACCGAAATGTTAGGTAAAATCTTAGCTATTCATTTTATTTTATTTTTGACTTAAGGACCCTAGTATGTTAGGCGTACATGAGGTGTGTCGGACGTACTTGAAATAATACATGAGACAGGGTAGTCCTTGGTACGCTCGACGTACCCATTTGTACGATGGACGTACGTCAGTTAGGTGCAAACCCTAATTTTTAAGGTTTGTACCCTATTTAAAGACCTTATAACCCCAAAGCTTTCTCCTTATCAGCCTTCATTGCCTATTTTGAGATATATCATGAAACCCTAACCCATTTCTCAAGAGATTAACCCTTGTGTATGTGTGTGTGTTTTTGTGTGTATAGTGCATATAGAAGAAGAAGAAGCCTTGTGACCAAGTAGGAGCTTGTATATCCAGAGTCCATGCATCATTTTCAGCCTCTAGGAGGTTAGTTAGAGTTTTAAAGATATTTTGGTCCCATGAGTTGGTCTTTGTGAGTAAAAGCTACTCCAGAAGATTTGGGCTGCACTTATTGGTGTTTTGGGGGTCTCTTGTTCATAGAAATCATGTCTTGATGGATTTGGTCCAACCATGCATGACTTAATTGTTATCTTATAGACTATAGAAGCTAGAAATGAAGTTTATGCCTTTTTAAGTCATGCAATAGCATAAAGTTAGCAACTTTATGGATTAAGACCTTATTTCAAAGTTAGACCTATGTTTTGGACGTTGTACTTAAAGCATTAAGTGCTTAATGGATGTTTTTGGCTAACTAGGGTGTACGAAGGCGTAGGCTGAGTGTATGCGTCAGGGATCCTGATCCTTGAGTGGTAATCGAGTACGCCTGGCGTATTGATGGTATGCTTAGCGTACTCACCAGGAAGCTTTTCGGGTTTATAGTATTGGTCCATTAGTGGATCTTATGCCTTTTGGGCAATGGTGGGCTTTAGGCCGCTTGGACCTTTTTTAAATTTGGGCTAGTTTGGACTTAGACCGTGATATGTTAGGCCCATTAAGGGAAGGGTAAAGCAGCCTTTTTACCTTAGGAGTTGGGATTTAGGATTTGTACCCTCAGTTTGGGTTAATGACCTAAC